CATAATCTTCTTGCTTCCATACATTAGCATAAATCTAGTATAATTTGTGCTTTCTACTTAAAGTTCAGTAAGAACTCTGGCAAACAAGAAGGGTAGGACTGAACTGACTAAATCAGGTCACTAATTATTTTGATTGCTTTCATTATATTCACATAATAAAGACATAGTTGAATGGGCTTTGCTTAGTAAATTGCCACAAGAAGCTGATAGAGGTAGTCCTCACTTACTGACCATTTGTTCAGTGACTGAAGTTACAGTGGTGCTGAAAAAATAACTACGGCCCATTTACAACCTTTGCAATGTCCCTCAGTCTTATGATCGCCATTACAATAGTATGCGTTGTCCTGTGCCTGACTTGTGGTATTTCTTTTTCTCCCCTTGTAGAGCAGGTTGATTGGAGAGAAAGGGATTGCAAGAGAGCAAGCTGTTTGCTCTTCTACACATCAAAAGCAATGCGATCGCTCCAGCAGCCGGGGCTGGAAGCCACCGGTGTGCTACGCAAACAGCTTCCAGTAGTCTCTTGACATCTCTTTCTCTCCAATCTCTGCTCTGCGGGGGCGGGGGGAGCAAGTGATTTCTGTAGGCAGTCTCTCCTACTTTTGACTTCAAATCTGAAGCACTGCATGGCTCTAGCAACGAATTATGGTCTAGCCCCTGAAAACCTATGCTGTGATAAATATAGTCACCTGGTACAGCTCCACACTGAAGTGACCTGAAAGTGCTTTAAAAAGAATCTTCTAATATTGCAATTCTTTTTTCCCCTTCTTAAGCTGCCTGTGGCTGTCTTCAAATAACTCAGCTCCTGTGTGAACACAAGTGTCCAATTAACATCAAAGATGTGGTATGTAATCATGATCTCATTGGCAATTCTTGTGTCCTTTTAAGGTTTTAAGCATCTTTCAGTTCACGGAATCTTACTTGAAAACTAGTCAGCTATGTTGTTTGGGGCTCCTTATTCTACTATTTTTAATAATTTTGCAGCAAATGAGCCAAAGAGGCATGTCCAGTTACAGATTCCCTCCGCATGTCCCCACATAGATGTGCTGTTATTAATGAGAAAGCATGCAGTAGAGAAAAATGGCATCTGCTATATAAAGTATCAGCCAACTTTTGCTTTGGTATCTGGTTCTGCACCAGGATCAGAAATTCAGAAGGCATAAATGAGAAATGTTCATCTAACTATCAAAAGGATAAGTAGTTTCATAAGCGAGGCAAGGCTTGATGCTGTACAACAACTGGCACTCATGGGTCACATTTATTTCCATCTGATGACTGTAGCCATCGCAACCTTTTCATTTATGGGTGTTTCTGTTTCTTATTCCATGCCTGAGTTATCTAACTCCATTAAGCTTCCTGGTTCAGTTTTACATTTTCTTATTTGCTTTATTTAAAGCAATTCATCCAGCTCCATTCAGAGAAAGAAGGCTGAAATTAGTTTCTGAGCAAAGCTGGTCTCTCAGTTCTTTCAAGGATATTTTTATGCATAAAGATCAACAGTGGTGACAGTCTCACACAGCTTCTCCTTTAGCATTACATCTTAATCCAGCAACTGGGTGGTTGTTTTGTTGGGTTTCAGGTTATGCACGCCGCTCCCATGAGCATGAGAGCAGCATGAGCTGCTTGGAGATTCTGCTTAGGTTCAGTAGATGATAGCACTTGGTCAACTTGTCTGGTTTGAAGATCCGCAGGGGCAGACCTGGTTAGTACTTTGATGAGAAACTACCAGATAACACCAGGCTAAAGATTAGACTATGAAGTAACCTCCCCTTCCCCCAAAATAACAGTAATATATGTAATACCTGAAGCATTGACTGGATCTTTCCATACATTACTATAGGATGGGTAAGAATCCTACAGCAATGGGTAGGATTGATTTTGTTACAAGGAAGGAATGTAACATTTGGGTAGGAAAGGACACGGCAGATGGAAATAAGATTTTAAAGGTATGGAATTGTGTATCATGGCCAAGTTTTTTCATTTTGCTCTGGGTTTTTTATTGGAATTCTGTTTGTTTGGTTTTTTAGGAAATAATATATCTATTTTAGTTAGTTAGGCTACAGTTGTGATATACTCCAAAGGTCAAAAAAACATGCCATCTATTTTCTGCAATCAAGAGGTATTCTGGAGATAGCAAGTGAAGGGTTCAGGACCACATGTGGCCCTAGGGCTGAAGGTTACAGATGCCATGTTGCAGTAGGACCACTTCCACACTAGAGTTTTGGTTACTGATGCTGGGTGCAGAGTTTCTACACAGCTAGTTTCTAAATAAGGATTATATTCCCTTGTTTCCAGTTTCTGGATGTTTCCAGCTTCTGTGGTGTACATCTTGTTATAAATGTTTTGAATTCTTTGAGTTCAATTGAATAATTGATAGGGTTTAATTTTTTTTTCAATGTTTTCTCCAGGATGGAAATACGCCTTTCTTACTTGCAGTACAAAACGGCCACCCTGAAGTATGCAAATACCTTCAGGAGCATGGGGCAGATGTCAACTCCAGGGACAAAAGTGGAAGGTAGAATTAAATGGCACGTTCCCCATCTTCTTCAGCAATAACTAGGACTCTGTATTTTCATCAGAATTTTTTTTCTGGAGAAGGATTGAAATCAAAAGACAAATGGCATACACCAAATTTGCATGAGAATCAACTTTCAGAGATAAATTCTGATTGCTTCCAAATATTTGCTGATGTCCTTAGTCAAGAAAGAAGAAGATTTTATTCTTCTTTGCCATGAGAGACATGCTGGTATTCTCTCAGTTCCCCATTTGAAGCTTATCCTGAGGCTTAGATGTAATTAAACAACTTGGTTATAGTTATTAGAGATGCATGAAGTAATACATCTTGTTTTATGTAAGGCACAGCTTCCACAATGAAATTCACAAGAAACATTTTATCATAGCCTATGTATGAGGAAATGTTTCAGGTTGTCATAACCATCCATGTTCTTTCTCTAAAGCTTCTACCATCAGAGGCCAAGGACACAAACATACATAGTGCCAAAATCTATAGACTGAGGATAAAGGTTGTTAATTGCTGATAATCGTGGCATATATAATCTCGTGTTTTGGCATCTTCTGGATACTAGTTATTGAGGCATGTTAATGGGAAGTCTTGGTTCTCACTTGCCCTCCTCTGGGCTTCTCAGAGGCATTTGGTTGGCCATTGTGGGAAAAGAATGGTAGATAGGACTTTGCTTGATCTAGCAGGCTAATGTCAAAATAAATTGTGTGATATTACATGTGATTGGTATGGGATCCTGTCCTTCAGAGATATCTGTCCCAAATCTGGACCAGCTGGGCTCTGATGTGGGCATAAAATGGGCAACCTTTCCCAATCTAGATAGGTTGAACTACAGTTTTCATCAGCCCTACCCAGCATGTTTTAGGAGTTATAGTCCATCACAATGGGAGGGCTCCAAATTGGAAAAGGATTACATGAGGATGGCAAGACTAGCATTGTACATTTTTAATCTAAATAAATTCCAAGCAAAAATTTCCTTCAAGCTGAACTGATGATTTCATCCAAGTCATTTTCTTGGCAACAAAATGGAAATGTTTTGCCATGCTCTCCTGGAAAAGAATTTATTTGCTTATTTTGGTTTCCCAGTTTATCCTACAGCCATGAAATTTCCTTGTAATCTTTCATCAAAGAATACAGGAAAATAATATAATTTCAGCCTACACATACCATAGACTGTACTGATACAGTGGGGCAAAAAGGTATTTAGTCAGCCACCAATTGTGCAAGTTCTCCCACTTAAAAAGATGAGAGAGGCCTGTAATTTTCATCATAATCAGACAATGTGATTTTCTGGATGATCCCATTTTGTCTCAATCAGACAATGTGATTTTCTGGATGATCCCATTTTGTCTCAATCAGACAATGTGATTTTCTGGATGATCCCATTTTGTCTCAATCAGACAATGTGATTTTCTGGATGATCCCATTTTGTCTCAATCAGACAATGTGATTTTCTGGATGATCCCATTTTGTCTCAATCAGACAATGTGATTTTCTGGATGATCCCATTTTGTCTCAATCAGACAATGTGATTTTCTGGATGATCCCATTTTGTCTCAATCAGACAATGTGATTTTCTGGATGATCCCATTTTGTCTCAATCAGACAATGTGATTTTCTGGATGATCCCATTTTGTCTCAATCAGACAATGTGATTTTCTGGATGATCCCATTTTGTCTCAATCAGACAATGTGATTTTCTGGATGATCCCATTTTGTCTCAATCAGACAATGTGATTTTCTGGATGATCCCATTTTGTCTCAATCAGACAATGTGATTTTCTGGATGATCCCATTTTGTCTCAATCAGACAATGTGATTTTCTGGATGATCCCATTTTGTCTCTCCAGAAAATCACATTGTCTGATTTTTAAAGAATTTATTTGCAAATCATGGTGGAAAATAAGTATTTGGTCACTGATGAAAATTACAGGCCTCTCTCATCTTTTTAAGTGGGAGAACTTGCACAATTGGTGGCTGACTAAATACTTTTTTGCCCCACTGAATATTATGTTCACTTGTGAAACTATTTGAGACTAGAGGTGGAGCAATTCTTCCAAATAAGTAGGGACAAACAATGTACCCTCCCCAACATAACTAGTCCCTGGACTGGGTGAAAGTTCTGAGCCTCTCAGAATCAGCATAATAAAAGAAACTTCAGATGCTAAAATTGATACATTCTATGTACAGTTTGTAGGACTCATAGACACCAATTGAGATTAAACTGAGATCCCTTTGTTCCATAGCTTACCATATGAGGGATATGATCTGGCAACCTCCTTCATAGGCTGGACCTGCATTGGTCAGTGTTGCCTTTTAGAAATAGTCTTGCCCATGTTTTGTAGTCCTTAAATTTGGGGATTTTAATAAGAACGTGGATCCTCAAACTGGGGCTTGATGTGTTGGGACTGTAGTTTTCAGCATTTCCAGTCAGAGTGGACTTTCAGCAATGTAGTCTTGGGAATTATGGAGAGCACCAGGCTGGAGAAGGTTACTTTCCAAAACATCTGTGTTGTTCAACCTAGTCTTGAACTGTTAAAGTTTATTGATTCTGTCCCGGATGCTTTGCCTACTCTTGCAGTGATTGCCTATAGATCAAGTCTGGGAAACACTAGAAATTTCATTGTGTTAAATGCTTTCGTTGAGAATGCTCTGATGACATGACAGCTGGAATAGAACTATCCTGTCACTGAAGGATCTCACTGCTTTTATCGTCCTGAACCTAGCTAGCTGTTCAGTATTGTGCAGTTGATTTAATCTGGTGGTGCTTGTCCTCTAAGGAAACAAATTACGCCTTGAAGTCACAACTCTGGGTGGTATCACTTTGCCACAGGCTCATGCTCCCTTCATGGTTAGTCTTCCTAATTTCTTTAGAACTGCTTTGATGCTGGCCTGTGAAGCTGGAAACCTGAGCATTGCGGAAATCCTGATCCGAAAAGGGGCAGATATAAATTTGGCAGATGCGCTTGGACACAATGCCCTACATTACTCCATACTTTCTGAAAATACAGGAATTCAGAGTCTCCTTCAATCCAAAATGGTTCAAGATGTTGGTATGTGTACATTTCTTAAATACTTCCTAAAATATGCAAGTGGGGCCATACAGGTAGTCCTCAGTTACCAATAGTAATTGGGACTGGGAACTCCATCACTAAGTGACACAGTCATAAAGTGCGACATCATGTGACTGGAGTCCCAGTTGCTGTTGTTAGGCGAATCCTGTGCAGTCGCAGCATTCCACAGTCATGTGATCACCGTTTGTAACTTTCTGCCTGCTACGGCCGCAAGTGGTGATCACATGACCACAGGATGCTGCAATGTCATAATTGTGAGCCATTTGCCAAGCACCCAAATCACAATTATGTGACCACAGAGACGCTGCAATGGCTGCAACTGTGAGGACTGGTCATAAGTACCCCTCATTCAGCGCCATCGTAGCTTCGGATGGTCGCTGAGTGAGTGGTCATTCAGTGAGGACTACTTGTACAGCAAAATACTGCAGACTAGAGTGTTTCTTTTCAAGATTCCAGAGGCTCCATTCTCCCTTTCCCTTTCTTTCAGTTACGACTATCCTTGATTTTCCTCCTAGTTAACAGTCAGGATTTTATGTCTAGTGAGCATGCTTTGTTATACACCTTTCCTGCCTCTGCTCCTCCCCCCCCCCGGGTGTGTGTGTATGTTTGTGTTTGAGGGAAATGGTTTAGACTGGTGTGTGCCAAAACTCAGTGCTTTCTCCATTGAACTTGATGGACTGCTTTCATTTTCAAACAGCTTTTCAGCATGAGCTAGAGAATTCTCTGTCCAGACAGTAAGATGGCTCTTTCAGGTTTTAATCTATCTGCCTCTTCCTCCCCTCCTCCCTTTCCTAATCCTTTTGGCCCATTCCTCCTCTCCCTGTTGGAGAGGGGGTTTCCCCCCCCTAAACTCAATGTTTTGAATACTTAACGGGCCATTTGAAGATGCATCCCGTTATGTTTTCTATAAGTTGGGGTAATGCTGCATCTGCAGATAAACTTAAGCTGTTTTTTAAAAACCTTGTTAGTCTGTCTGACAGAAGAAAGAATGCTGACTCAGCCATCTTATGTATCTGCATATATCTTGCTTTATTGTGTACAGTGGAGTAATTACATGCCATGGAGTGTGGAATGTGTCTAGCATTATACTTGGATTGCTTCTTCATTCACACTCTCACTGTGCATAATAAAGCAGTCAAGGCTTGAAAGTATAAGTATAGGTAGGATTATTTGCATATCTGGTATGAATTAAGAATGTGATTTCAAACAGGAGTGCCTATAAGATATGGTTAAAAACAGTCAAGAAGTCGAACACAACCATACAATTGAAACTCCACCTGTTTTATATGTACATTGCACCTTTGTAGCTGCCATCTTGAATTTTTTGACCACACCCTGTGGGCACCCCTGACTCCAAATGTGCTCATTTGTACCTCAAGTTATATTGAAAACAGGGAATTGACTCTAAAATACTGGTAAGCTTTCGATCTGGGTTTACATTTGTTAAATAGATATCTCACTTAATCAACTTAAATGCAGTCTTTCTTTTCTGCAGATGTCAAGTCACCAACCAAGCCAAAGCAGGTAAAAAAGAAAGAAAGAAAAAAGATAGTAGCTTAATAAAGATAAACTTCATGTTTAGTGTAGATAAATGCCTAAGAATTACAATTACGATGGAAAATTATTTTTAGTTTTGTAGAGGTTTTAGAAATATATCCAGCATGAGTATTGAACAGTTGTATGAGTCTCCCATCTCTGTTTAAGAAGTTGTCATTTCCATCTCCCTTGTAGACACAGGGAGCAACATTTAATTTGAGGTAATACTGGGATGTCCTCTTAAAAAATATTGATAGCTATGGAATGGTGGCATGTTGGATCAGTAATGCCAGGATAAGACAGCTTCCTTTCGTATTATTTGCCTGATTAAAATCTGCCATCAAAATGTTATTTGCTCAAAGGGGTAAATACAGAGGAACCTCTAAATTACCTCATGGGCAGGTAGTTTCAAAATGGGACAGTTTCATTGGGACAGCCAAAAGAAGCATTATATTCCCCTCCTCAGTTTATACCTCTAACCATCTTTAGCAGCTGGAAGATCCTGATTGTAGATTTTCCACATTGGGGATATTTTGTGGAAGACTTAGGATATTTAGAAGGTACCATGTTGAAGAAGGTGGCTTCAACCCCTTTGAACATTTTCAGACCCCCTTGTAGTAAGATTGGAAGAAATATGTTCTAATCTCCTTGCAACCAAGCTGGAGGAGAAAGCAAAATGGGAGTTTAATACTTGTTCACATAACAGTAAATTATAATCTATTTGGCTTAATGGTGCTTAGGAACCATTTCAATGTAACGAGCCTAAAATTCTGAAATAGCTGCTCAAGCTTTATTGGGTTTAGGGGACTTCTTTGGCCAATTGTAAGAAGTTGCGGAAAATGATCCTGTTTCCTTTGGAAATCATGTACAACTTCTAAACTAGGACTGGTATTATTTACATCCAGTTGGTTATACTGGTTTGCTCTGTTGAGTTCCTCTGTTCCTATTTTGTTGATTCCAACCATTACAGAGGATTCAGAAGGGAGGGAGGCAGAGACAGAAGAAGGTGGTGGGTGATATTGGGGATTTGACCTGGAGAATGTCCAGTTGTATATTTTGCCAAGATAAGTTTAAAAGTGGAATGCTCCAAAGGACTCAAAAAATGGCCCAGGAACAAGACTGAGAAGAAAAATCTGTCTCTATCTGTCCTGGGAAAGGCAAGGCAGGGATCAAGAGGTCTAACAAATGGTTTGAGGCTGTGAATAGCAGTGCATCTGAAATCATGGCTCAGTAGGACAGGGTGTGCCTTTATGGACTGCATTGAAATGTACAGAGGCATGAATTAAAAAAGGAAGCGGGGTGAGCTCATGCTTAAGCATGTGTCATATCCTCACAGCAGTGAAACAAGGCGTGAATGTTTTTTTTAATGTCTTTTGTATCTTTTAAAATAATAACTTTTTAACACAGTCCTTACTAACAAACTAACAGACCTCCCTTTTCTGGCCTGTGAAACTTCCAGCATGATCAAGTCTCTAGATTAAGTTCAGAAAGAAGTGGAACTCCAAAAAAACGCAAAGCCCCTCTACCTCCTCCAATCAGTCCTATTCAGGTAAACAGCCAAGTCCAGCTTGAACGGGTTGCTATGTATAGAGAGGGAGGGGTGTTGGAGGAATGTCCTGTTGGGAATTGATCTGGTTAAATTTGCTTGGTGCAAATCCCCCCCCTTTTTTTTTAAATATGTGAGTCTCATGTATCAGGAGTAAATTCTCATAAGAATAGAAATAGGATGGCCTGTTGTTGGAAAAAAAAATCACATATTAATTACCACTTTGCAGAGAGAGCTGTTAAGATGGGACAGGATCCTAAGTTTAGACTAGTGGAGCTTATAAGAGGCTGACAGGCTTGCCTTTTAACCATCAGCTTAAGGTTCTTGGACATGCATAAGCAGCTTTGCACATGGGAGCCCATAGCATTTTAACAAAAAGTTTAATATTAAACTGAGTGGTTACTCAGGTGATGGTTTGACTGCATGCCTGCTGCTGGCAAACATTGAGGGCTGTGTAGTCCTGCTTATCTGGAACTAACAGAGAATGATGACTTCTGCTAGCAAGAAGCAATTTGTGTCCCTAAAATGCATCCATCTCTTCCAGCTTGCTGACCGCTCTTCACCACATTCAACAACTTCAACCCCAGAATCTGGGAAAGGCCAGCTCTTCTTTGCCCAACGGGGATCCAAGGTAGATTCTTTCTTTTTTTTCAATCTTGCTTCTGATTAAGTATGAACATTGCCCTCTTTGTAGGACAGCTTCCCTATTGGGCTTTTCAGATGTATTGGTTGCCCCCTAGGAATTCAGCAAGTTGCATGCTCAACATATTTGAGGGGCACTGGATTGGGGAACATTGTTGTAGAGGGCTGAGTTGATGTGACTCAATATTTAATTAGCTCAAATTGGGGAGAAGGTTTGCTCTTGTGTGAAGTGCATGGACAAAAATAGATAAAACTGGAGAATTCCCACTTCCTAGTACTTTCTGAAGTGTTACCTGCCCATGAAGTTAATTGAATCACTTAAAGCTACAATGGGAGTATAGTTGTGGGAGGATGGTCAGGACTGTGCCACATCAAATGGGCTAGTAGAATTTCCTTCCAAATGGCAGTAATGATAAAGCATCCACTGCGCAAATCATGTGGCTTAGCTATGAACAAGGAACATCTCAGTGTTTTAATCAGTTGAGTTTTAAGACTATTTTGGTTAGCATATTTCTGTAGGGAGTGAAAATAAAAATATTAAATATGACCTTTACTCTAAATAATTTTGCTTATTAAGCAATTAATTTTACACTTACTTCATTTTCTTGGGAATACACTTTTCCTTGCCAGTATTTGTCATTATTTATTGAAAGCACATTTATCTCAACTTTCTGTACCAAATATCCAAGGTGGCTTGTCAAAACCAGAACACAGCACCTTAAGTACATAAGGGCCCACACACCCTTTGCCTATGTAACACTACAACTACAAGAGCTTCACTAGCCAATGCTTTGCTTCTAGATGCAAATTGAGGTGTTGGATGTCATCTTTAAAGCTCTAACTGGCTCAGGACCTGGATAAGAACCCATAAGATCCAGTAGAGAGGGTATTCTTTGAGTCTCATCTCTGCGGAGTGTTAGTATCAGGGGCCACCAGGGTATTTTTTTGCACTGCTGCCCCCCTCCTTTGGAACTGTGCTCCTCCCAATGTCAAATTAGCACCAACCCCGCGAAGCACCTGCTAAACCTCTAAGACCTGACTATTTTGGAAAGTTTAGGAGTGATAGAATGGTGAATCCCCACCCTGTAGTAGGTGATTGGTTGTTAACTGAAGTTGTTCTTCAGCATGATGAAGAATGTGAAAGTTATTGTTGTAAGTATTGTTTGTTTTGAATCAAGTTTTAATTATTATTTTAGTCTTTCTTCATGGTATCGGAATGTAAGCTGCTTAGTGTCATCTGTGACTGAAGTGGTACAGAAGCTTAAATAAACAAAACCAGCAACTAAATTATAGTGAACAGTTTATGATATGCAGACATGTACAAATGTAATCAAACATCTGCCGCTTAACCAATCATTGTTGAAAGATGGTTTTAAAGTTATGGTTGTTTGTTCAAAGGAGCATTCCATTTGAAAGGTATTTGATGAGTAGTTCAGTGGGACTTGAATCTTGTTTTTAAGCAGTCATGGTTTATGTTTGTCTTTCAGCAGGAAGATATCAGTGCTATTCAGCCTGATTGCAAAGATGGGATGAGTGACAGCACTGCAGGTAAGATGCAGGAAAGTTGTAAGGATGATTTCCTTCATCTCTCCCTATTGTAAAAGTTTCCTTCTAGAAACTGAACTCCAATAGAAAGTTGTTATTAGACATCATGCACTATGGCCATAGTAGAATTAGAGTTTGCTACTTCTCTGCAAGAAGGTACTGTTGAGCAGTGTTCACTCATTTTGTCTCGACATCTCCATGAAAGGAGATTCCATGATTTCCCCATATATTTTATTGCTTTAAGTTGGTTTTGTTCTTGAACTCCCATGTTCAAATTCCTAAATGTCAATGATTGCACCCTCCCAACCAAGCTCGCAACTGTTAAACACTTGAGTTTTTAAAAGAAATGGAGTGATTCTGCAACAAAAAACTAAAATTGTTTTGATTTTAATTTATTTCATGTACTTTAAATTAAAATTAAACATATTAAATGCAGTTAATATGATCATTCCCCATGCATTAATAATTTCCTCCCCCTGTCATTTTATGTTACAATTTGTTATAATTTGGCACCAAATTTTGGAGGAGTTCCAATCTAGCATGCCCACTCCTAGTTTAACTGTAAGTCCACAAGGAATCCTGCTGTGTTTACCTAACTTTGCTTGTTCTAGAATTTTTTGGTACTGCTAGTGTCTCAAAGGTGTTCATAGATTTCCAGATACACCCCATTCAATAAAATACCTTCCAGAAGCTGCCAGTTTTATTAATCAGACTTTCATGTGGTTTTAACAAAATTGGCTAGCTAGTAAAAGATGATTGTCTATTTTCATTTTGAAGGTTTGCTAAATAGACATTATCTGAGACTTGTAGCAGCCTTGAAAGTTCAAATCATAAATGTACTTATTTTTCTTGTTCCTTCCCTTTTCTTTTTTAAAGGTGCTGATAGCTTATTGGATGTAAGTTCAGAAACAGATCAGCAAGATTTGCTCCTGTTGTTGCAAGGAAAGGTTGCTTCTTTGACACTACAAAATAAGAAATTGCAAGAAAAACTTCAGGTATGTGTTCAAGAATAGCTTCTAGCACAAAACAGCCGTGGTATCTTTTTATGAAGGATGTAAGTGCTGCAGAGGAAAAATATTAAACTGAACTCTGAGGTGAGACTCAAAGATAGAAAATGGATCTGTGCTGCAGATTCAGAAAATTGTTCTATACAGGCATTGGAAATTTCCAGCCCACTAGTTGGTCCACACAACGAATGGAATCCGAAGCAGAGTTTCTCTAGTAAAGCCCCTTGGCAATGTGAACCACAATTATGGCTTATTTGTGTATATGATTTATATCACACTTTTCCTTCAAGAGCTGAAGGTGGCTTGGATGAGGATCTCCCTTCGCTTTGTCCTTACAACAACAAAGGGCTGAGAGAGAGTGACTGGCCCAAAGTCATCCAGGAGGTTTCCATGGTTGAGGTTGGGCTTGAACTTGGATCTCCCCAGTCCTAGTCCAACACCTTCACTGCTCCCCCGCACTGGTGCAACTCTGCCATTATCTGTACAACTGCAGGTGGACAGCAAATGTGTTCTTACTTGCTCCTGCAGAGAGGAAGCATTTTTCTCCATGAAGCAGTAGCCTGAAAAACATCATTTCTGTTTGGCCCTGCAAAGAGAAAAGCCTTTTACCCTGCCAGACCAAGCAGAAAGCAGCAACTCTCCCCCTTTAGGCCTGTGGAGATAAGTGCTCCACGCAAGACCCAGTGGGGGAACTGGTCCTCTGCTTTGTCATCTACAGACTGTTTTCTTTCCATACAGCAGCAGACCTACTGCTTCTCTCTCCTCCTTCATGAAGAACCATTGGGGGGGGGGGTGTCTTGGGGTATGTGGCTTATCCTTATTAAAAGCCCACCCTGACATCACCTGGAACGCATTCAATTCCCCACCCCATATTCTGTGTCCTCATCTCTGTGGTTTATGCAGTCAGTCTCATTATCTTCAGTATTCTGAATTCGGAAATGCAATCCAGACTGCATTGGAAATGGGAACTCTTGGGAAAGTCACACCACAACATCATCCTTCTGGCAGAATTGGAGTGGTGGAGGGAGAGGTTTGCTGGCTGAATGGAAATCAAATGCTGGCCCAGTAATGATCAAAGAGGGGAGAAAAATGTAGCTCCTTGTCTTCTTGATGGGGAAGGAATTCACTGGATTCCATTAGAATTAAGCATAATTGTTGAATGCTGCCATCTGCTGTATCTGCAGGCAAGAGCCCTCAAAACAGAAGATACAGATACCACAATGGATTCTTTTTGTTCCACCCACACGGAATTTGACCCTTTGACTAACAGGCTAAGTGAGGGTTCGGCAGTGGTAGCCAAGGAGAGAAGCACATCTTCCCTGAATGTGGCACAGGCTCAGGAAGAAGCAAGCCCTAATGAATTAAAAATTAAACAGCTACAAGAAAGCTTAGAGGAAGTGCAGAAGAGACTAGATAGTTCAGAAGCAAAGAGGCTGAACTTGGAGTCACAGCTTCAATCTGGTGTGCTGAAGGAGGCTCACTTGTTAAACAGCTCAGAAATTTCAGAGAATGGCTCTGATCTCAATCAGAAACTAAAAGAAACCCAAATCAAATACGAAGAAGCAATGAAGGAGATGCTGCAGATCCAGAGACAAATGAAACTCGGGCTGGTAACTTCAGAAGGCAAAGAGGCTGACCTGCAAGAGCTCAGGACAACCTGTGAGGAAGTTGAACTGCTGAAGGAAGAGCTGAGAAAAGCTCAAGAAGATGATGAGAAGCTGAAGGTGAGGGTGAAGGAACTAGAGATAAAGCTGGAAGAAAGGGAGAGAAATGCATCTGGTAAAATGTCTGTGGAGGAATGCGAGGAGATGAAGAATTCTTACTGCTCAGTTATTGAAAATATCAACCAAGAGAAAGCGTTGCTAATTGAGAAGTATAAGGAAGGACAAGAGGAAATCAAAAAGCTCCAAGACAGACTGAAGACTGAGATGGAATCAGGGCACAGTGATGAAGCTGAAGAGGTAAAGGATGCAAAGAACCAAATGATAAATGAACTCAACAGGCAGGTCAGTGAACTTTCCCAGATGTACAAAGAAGCCCAAGCAGAACTTGAAGATTGCAGGAAGAAAATCACTCCAGAAGACCTGAGTTCAGGATACATACCTCTAGAGGAATATGAGAAACTAAAGGAGACCACCGTCTTGCAGAGAGAGCAAGCTGAACATGCTTTGTTGGAAATGAAGACACAATACACAAAAGTTTTAAGTGAAGTGACACAACTCCAAAACCTGGTTGACACTCAGAAGAAGAATTCTGTCTCCATCACAGAACATCTTCAGGTGGTTACTGCTCTCCAGACCTCAGTGAAGGAAATGGAAGAAGAAATAAATGAGCTCAAAGAGCAGATTCTTCATAAGGAGAGTGAAGTGCAGCGTCTGCAGAAGGAGTTGTTAGAAGAAGAAGCTGCAGTGTGTGAAGCCATGGTGCCCAGAGTATTGTATGAAGAGCTTCGGTCTTCTTCAGAAAATGAAGTCAACTCCTTGTCATCCAAACTGAAGGATTTGATGAAAGAGAGGGAGACCTTGTCTGCCGATCTTGCACAGTTGAGGAAGGAGATCTCACAAGTGAAAGGGGAGAAGGAGAATCTCCAAGCTCTTCTGCAGGCCAAGGAAGAAGAAATCAAAGGACTACTTCATCAATATCGTAAGTCTCAAGAAGAACTCCTTGAAATGAAAAAAGCTTCTGAGAGTGCCTTAAAAATGGATGAAGACAAAGATAAAAAGGTTAGTAGTTCTAACATCCCTGTCAAGAATGGCTGGGTTTCCCATGGTCCAGATGTGCCCCCTGAAGCAAGTTCATGAAACTGATTAATTAGAAGATTACTTGGACATATTTGAAACAAACATTACTGTGCTAGGTTCTTTGCAGTCATTGGAGAATCCTGGGCTAGACTGGATCCCTTTGGCTTTTTTCTTTTGCCAGTAACAGAATTATGGTGTAAATGCAGAAATGGTTTCCAATGCTCCAAGATGATTATATATAGTAGCTCTTGCATGAACTTGTGGTTTCAGGGAGTTTGAAGAAATAGACCCTCATCCCCTCATCTGTTTTTGCACAGGAAAATTAGCCATGAATGATTTATACACTTCTCAAAGTATCCAAGTAAATGGCAATAAAGAACTATAGTTACAGACTATGAGCTTGAGAAGAAATGTGTGCCTGGAGTAAAGAATTGGGGCAAAAGCAGCTCAAAACTTGTGGGGGGGGGCTTGTACTTGAAGTATTCAGGGTTCAAATTTTAATTGTTTAGAACTAAACTCATGATTAAAAATTAGCTTGGCCAATGCAGTGTAAACCAGCAGGTTGAACAGTATATAGTCACTGATTACATTATGATTAAACATTCCATCTGTGTCAAGTAGACGATGATGGTGAAAGCCGTTTTCCCACCTTTAAAGCGGATCTCACTGGTGCCAGGATTTAACCGTTCTTTGATGTATTCTGGAATAATGAAGCTTTTTCCTTTTTCTCCCTCATAACCAGATATCAGACATGTCTAAGGAAGTTATCAAGTTAAAGGAAGCATTGAACAGTCTTTCCCAGCTGTCTTACTCAACTGGTACACCTAAACGGCAAAGTCAGCAGCTAGAACTATTGCAGCAGCAAGTGAAGCAGTTACAGAACCAACTGGCTGTAAGTTTATAGCTTCCTTGCCTACAATTGCTTATTTTTGTAGATGGAGATCAAAATCTTCCTTGGGATGAAACTTGATATAGAAACACCCTCTGAGATCAGGGAATCAGAGCAACAATCTCAGTGAGATATGTAGCCTTGGTTTGTACACTGATGTTTTCTTTAATTAAGGAGCAGTGACAGATCCTTTCCCTTCTACCATGGCAGATCTCATTTTCTTGTCAGAAAAAGAATGTATTTTGGTTCTTTCAAATCAGTATGGGGGCCTCCCTGTAGAATTGTATGATTTCTGAGATGACAAACCAGTTAGAGCAGCACAACATTAAAGTCTGAATGCACTATGGGCCAAGTTGTTATATCTGCTGATCATGCTTTGTACCAATGCCAGATTTTGTAAGGCTTGCATAAGAGTAGCAGTTTCCAGAATATTCTGAGGTTGAGTGATCATCAGCTGCTTTAGAACAAAGGCATTTTCCCTGATTCAGCCAAATAAGCTATCAGTATGAATGTTTTCAATTTGGAAGTTGGCAACATGGCACTAAAGAGAACTAGAACACCTATCAAAACCCTTGAGAAGTGCAAGTCTTGCTGATCTCAATTAAGATATTTGGCAAAGAACATCAGAACCTCATAAGATTTCAATATCTTTTCCTTCCTTTCTTATGCCCGGAAGAGATTACCCTATCCCCTTGTTTTCATTGATTATAGACTTCTTCTCCAACAATGCATTCATGCCCACTCTCCCAAGGACGTGTGGTTGAGGAGAAAGATATGTGCCATTTAAAATCCAATATAAGTATTCAAAACGAAGGGTACCTGTAATGATGTAGAACAGCTTTAACTAGACAGTGCCCTTTGAATAGGCACTTTTCATTTTAAAAAATGGAATGGGGGGCTTTTGAGCTTGAGCTTGATCTTCCTCCCAAGGATCTTACCCAAACCAGAAATCTGTTTTCTGTTTTGCACACACTAGTCTGGAATTCTTTCCCCTGTGGGGTGGACAGGGGAGAAGCTAGGAAATATCTAGGATGGAGGGGCACAACTGTGCCCTTGGATTGCCATCACCAATGTATATGTTGTAGATATACGGCTTGAATTCATTATTATCACATTCTATTTTACATTATCTTGTTAGAAAGCTACATCGGTGTTCATTTAGAGTGCTAGTGCATACTTGTTCACTTGCTGATGGACTGTCTTTCTTTACAGGAAACAAAGAAACAACATCAGGAGATAGTTTCTGTTTACAGAACTCACCTGCTTTATGCTGTGCAGGTGAGAGGCTCTTTCCTTCAGTTCCCCTTATATTTCTTTCAAGGCTGTCACCTGGTTAAAGATACCAGTGGATTATATTTGTGTACTAGTGCTAAAACAATGGATGGTGCAGGGATATGCTTCAGCGAGGCCCGTTGTACACAACCATTTGAGAATGAATGCCTCTTCTAAGTTGGTCTGACCAAATCATGGGTGGCTCTAATTTGACTAAAGAAATATAAGTAATCATTTTAACTGGAACGATTGAGTAAAGGTTTGCCATCCAAATTGTTATGTGCTAACGAAGGAAAACATTTTGGCAAACATAGCAGAGTGAGGGACGTGTATAGTTTGGAGCATGACTGATTATTTTAATATAAAATGAATAATCGTTTTATTATTACAATAATAATTGCAATATTACCAGACAGTAATTAAGAATTTGGTTTAATGGTCTTTGTTCAAATGTTGCTAATATTGTTTCCTGTTTCCCCCCCTCTCTAGGGCCAGATGGATGAGGACGTCCAGAAAGTGCTTAAACAGATCTTAACAATGTGTAAAAATCCATTACAAAAAAAAGGTGAAACTGTTTTTGTGGATCCTTGATGGTGCTGCTGCAGAATTTGAAACTCACCTTAAAAAGATAATTTGTTTGGCAACTCCTGTGCAACAAGCTGACATGGGCGTCTGCTACCCTTCTTACAATACCCAGAGATTGCAGCTTACTATAAATCAGGGATGATCAACATCTGACCTTCAGTATTAGAATGTGGTTCTGTGCTTCCTTGGATTAGGATGAGTTGAGGCAAACTTTCACCATGAAATGCATTTTGGTTGTGAACAGCTGCACCAGTTGAAGTTGGAGGCAGAAATTAATTGTTCCGTTCCTGGTTATGTTAAATGGATAAAATTACCTTCTTTATATTTTTAGGCCTTCAGATGCCCAGTATAACCTAGAAGCAACTTATTAATGGTAAGGAAGACAAGTTCATCTTGTTGAGTAAAGCCAGCTGCAGTGTTTTCTTTTTATTTATCAAGTAATTTATGGACTGCAAGAGCACCAGATTTGTGATATGTATTAAATAGGTAACATAAAATATAGCCATGTACTAAAGCAAGTAAATACTTCTGAAAACAGCTAATTGCTAAAACCTCAGTTTCATTATCAAGCAGGAAATTAAACTATCTATGCAAATTTTTGCAGTTCTATTGGAAATAGAACTTAGAAGAGGGAAAAAGGTGTTCCAAATTGTAAGCAAGGGATCTGAATGAATTCATGATGTTTACAGTGAGTTATTTTATCTCACAGTTCCAAACCTCACTTTTGTAAAAAAAAAAATATCTTCTCAATGATATATTTTTACTGGCCCTCAAATTTAGAAAAGTCTTTATAATGAAAGTTGTTTGCTATGTAATACCTTTTTTTTTTTTTTTTTTTGCAATAGACTTTAATAACAATTTAAGCAATTGCCTTCTTGGTTTTCTCACTTAACCCCACTCTAATAAAATCAGTGGAAGTAGTCCACTCTCTAGAAAACGTGTGTTGAAATAGAACTGTCCATGTATTCTAGAATTGTGTTGGGTTTTTGTTTTTTTTTTAATTTTCCAAAATGCTGTAAAAATTAAAGCAGAGAAAAACCTGTTTCCCAGAATTGTTTGTCGCATTAAATTTATATAATATAAGAATGATCCTACAAATTGTGATGGTGCCTAAAAATTGTTTGGCTGCTAAATTTGGGCAGAAAATTGTTGTAATAGAAATACAGGATGATGATAGCAACTTGGATGATGATGACTGGTAGTATTAGAATATCATTTTTAGACAGCAGGAAGGGATATGTGACACTATTTTATCTTCTGTTTTAAGGACATGTTCATACTGTTAATCAGTTCCTGGAATCAGTTTCAAACTAGGGTGACCAAATTTCAAACGAGCGTGAGCTTGCCAACAGAGTCAGTTGTGGAAGAATATCACATCAATATGATATAGCCACTCTGGGGGGCTATATAGAATATTTATATACCCATCCAGAATCACTGTATGTGAGATGGGCGGCTAAATACATACATACATACATACATACATACATACATACATACATACAT